TTCACCATTACCCAATAAAGGTATTTGAGAAGTCTTGTTTTTCTCAAATGAAAGACTCAGGATAGTTATGATTAGTCCAAATGAAAAGCTTCGTAAAAGGGCACCATTTACATATCACACAGCATATAAATATGACAGTGAAGAGGGAATTAATACGACCAAAGATATTTGAGTACTTAAGATCCACGGCCTAGAAAATGGGAGCTGATGTAAATATGCCTTATCCCTTCAGGGAATTCCGCACTTTTACGCCGGTGGAGGGTTTATATTTAGAGCCCGCATACATCATCAATCACCTTCGGACTTATAAACTCGGCAGTTTTCAAACAAGATAACGGATCACAATTCTGATCACTAACAAAGCACGAAAGACGTGAATTGCGTTTCCTGACCACGCTCGTTTCCTCCAAATTCAAAAGGTAAATATTACACACGAAAACGTAGTGCCTCGAATTGCGTCATTAAGAATGATGTCAAGAGACTTTGGATTTTGTAAAGGAATCTTGAGTAGTTGTTATCCCTGAAGGCTACAACCACTCCTTCCCGGTCAGAAAATAAGTTTCTTGTGATACTGGACATTACAGTTACGTCAGCCAAATCATACAATTATAAGCAGTCAAATATCTATTCTTTCCGCCAATAATAGCAAGAGAGTTTCGACTTCAAATGAGTTGTAAAAGTCGTGACAATTTCGTAAAGACTTTGTAAAATTGTCCAACCTTAAATGTTGCTCGAGTCTTGGTTGAAATTTGATGCTCGATTTATGGAAAACATTTTGGGCAATCTTTACTTTCCTTGTTTGATGCTGTATTGTTACTTTTTCACCCCCTTGTCGCAAACCCCTTGGACAGAACAAGACAAATCACTGATCTTATGGCGTACAGGGCGTCCCAGAAGCTTATCTCAAGCCCCATTTAAAGAGACCATGCAATTATTTTTGTTGCTACACTGGAAATTATACCTTTTTTTTTTCGATGAATCGTATCTTCAATTTCAATTTTGCTATTGCATTTTCGAGACTTGTTTGGTTTTAATGCTAAAGTGAATTTGCATATTCATGACACTGAACCAAAATGTCGCATTAATTTTCTTGTTTGCTTTTTTTTTTTTAATGCTGAATTTGTTCATATGTATGGTTATAAATTTGACTTGTTTAGGCAATTTATTTCTTTTAGTCCATGACAATCCGGCGAGCAACCTTTACTCAGAAGTAATTTCAAACAGCAGACTTCGGGTTCAAAATTTGAATATGAAAACGTAACCTGAGCAGTGTCTTCCCTGATTTACGTCAGAACAACAGTGCTCTAGCTTGTCCAGAAAGCTTGAACAATTGTTAATGTAAGTGTAAAGTACACTTTTCAATGCAGTTAACTCCGAAACGATTTCAAACAGCTTTCATACATTGTAGAAGAGTAAAAGGGTGTGCCAAAAAGAATCTACATTAAATACGGGTGTTTCACAATAGTACACATCCAAGAATTTGCAACGCGTTGACCAATCACAGTGCGCAAAATCTGTCGACCCTATGCGCGTTTGGAAAAGGTTGACAGATTTCGCGGACTGTGATTCGTCAACAGGTGGCAAACACTTGGGGGCACACTGCTGTGAATCACCCATGTTCATTGCATGGATTCCTAATCAGAATGTCCACAGAACCTTTTTAGCGGAATATGAAAAATTGCATTAGGTTTCATCACATCGACTTTTCCATGCATTAAAACCAAGATCTCTAGTCCCTCGTGGGCTGCATTATTGTGTCGCGTGTCTTCTGCGGCTTGGCAGCGATTCAGCCCAGCAGGAATTCCTGTTTTGTGCAATTTGGATCTTTTCAGCCAGCTGAGGCTATGTACGCACGCATCAGTGTTGCATTGACCTCTTTCCTTGTCGTTGCGGTTCTCATACTAATGGGCCTACCTCAACTATTTGAGAAATTCGTTTTCTGTTTAGTCCGATTTATTGGTCTACTTGTCACTTTTTGGAGACTAAATTGTAAGGTGCTTGAATTTATGTTTCAATCTTTATAACAAGGAAAGCAACCGAAAACAGGGTTTTAGATTTAAATGTTGAAGTGTTCTACAGTCACGGCCTAGGCTGGGTGAGCTTCACAATTTTACGGTCAACATGCGGAGAAAGACGGTTTCAAAGCAGAAAAGTGCTGTTAAAAAGGTTGAGAAAGTTGCACACCAACGTCGCTGGAATTATTTAGTTGGGCGAGCACCATCTGCAATTTCGGGCGAGAATCTGAAATTCCTTAAAAAAATTATTATCATCTCACCGTCATAAACTAAGTTTCTATTTTTTGACAGTTGGTCCGTGAAAGCAATGTCGACTAATTGGCGAAATTTAGAGTAAACACATCAGATTATTATATTACGTTTTAGGCCCGATCATCATCCACAAATTCCTCATCCAGGTCATTCCCAATGTACAGTTTATTTCTCCTGCGACCAGCCATTTGATATTCTGAAAAATGAAATTTTTAACCAGCGCTTAACATGTAATGGACTTTGGTGCAAATCAAGCGAATTTGGCGTCTGCTGACGAGTACATGTAGTGGGAGGTTGAAAGCAGGATATTGATTATTGCTGGATTTAGCTGAAATGCCCCGTGAAATGTTCCGTTACTACTTTGCAAAAAGCTGTGCTGCTGAACTTCTACCGAGTGGTGTTGAGTTGACACCGTATGATGTTGACTGGACACCATTCAACGTTGAATCAAACATGAGTTGTTTTGATTTCAAAGTAATTGGACTGCGAGGACAACGAGCAGTGTTGAGTTGACGCTTTATAGAGTTAAATGAACACCACGTTGCGTTGAATTGTTAAAAACGGTTTTCAATAGACATCGCATGTAATCGAAAATACATTTTTTTTTAATTGAAAGAGCTTGGACTAAAGGTCAAAGTGGGAGGCTGAATGGACAATGTGTGGCGTTGAATGGAAACTGCATGTATGGTGTAGACACCATCTGGTCCTGTAACATTACTGCGTTCAGAAAATGCCGAATGGAATTGAATTAATGCAGAGTGTACATAGGCCACGTGGTGTTATTTTACGCAGCAGTTTTCAATCGTGAAATAAACTCTGCTTCCGCCCAGACTCCGATGAAAAGCCCCGTCTCAAGTATTACATTACACTTGTAGTGCGCCATTAATCTTTTACCTCTGTGAAACCAGATGTACGGTTTCTTGACTTTTATCTCGCTGATAGCCATCGGCCGTTTCTCTCCGCTGTCGATCACTCTCCAACTCATCTAGGACTTACAAGGACATTATTAACGCGAAGGCGTGGGCGCCACTTCTTCAGAGGATCTTTTTCACGGCCGGAAGCCGACGGAAGATTGGTGTTAATTAGCAGACTACTGTTTGGTGCAAGAAATAATTAGGAAAGACGGCAGTCGGTCAAACTGCTCTTAGAACGTGTGAACTCCCCGATATTCCTACGTACTGAGCATTACCATATCACTGTAACAACACATGTATGCATAACAAGGCCGTCTTTTCTACTCTCAACATGTTTACTGTCATCTGTTGGATTAAACGTCTTTTTCGAAACAAGTATCCAGTGTGCAATAGCACACCAGTAAAGACTAGCCTACGTTACATTTTATAAAACCTAAACTTAAATTTTAAATAGAAAATTAAACACTTGAAATCTGTAACTTTTTTCAGTATATGGCACATGTATAAACACACACGACACAGTAAATTCTAAGTATTATTCATGTTCTTATCGCCACAAGCACAATGAAAAAAAACTTGAACGCATAATGTGATGTGTTTTCAACTGAACAGTTAGACATATTTTATTCGAGCTGTAGCACTTTTAAACGTTTCGCTATTTTCCTAATAGATAGAGTAACTGTAATACTGTGCATTAAATGTTCATAATCAACGAAAATCTGAGCAACAAAAAGGAAACAATCGTTGTAGTTTTCCAAACAAGTGGCAAATGCCCCGTTTGTTCCGTGTGTACTACCACACCCAGCCCACATCCGTCACATATTATGCCGCCTGCAAGACGGTGAAAACTGAACTATAGTATTAATGAAACAGCCGTTCGTGATCACGCCAAGCCACGCTCCCCACCTTTCCCCCTTTGATTTGCGGTCGAGAAGAACAGGAGCTCTTTTGAAGTGTCAACCAAGAGGACAACCCATCAGAAAAATGAAATATGGCGTCACATTCTACAATGGTTTAGCATCAGGTGTTTGGGATGGGCTTTTTCATCGTGATTTAACAGACTTCAATCAATTTGGAGTGTATATTATAATGAATGTAAACTACAATGAAAAGTTAGTGACAGTATGTTCCAAAAGCTTCTACCAGAAGACCTTTGGAATCTTAACAGCCCGAGAAATAATGTCATCAAGGGAGAAAGTAACCTTTTCGAAAACATGAAATCCCATTACTTAAAGTTAACTGTAATTATCTGATTTTCGCGTATTAAAGCACATTACTTACGATTGCGCCGAATAATTACAAATGGTCGTTCGTGAAGTCTTTGGAAAGAGTAGCAAACACTACAAATTTTGAACAATGAAACTGGATTAACAAGAGCGGTTTCTTCAATATACCCCTTGCTGAAATCCAATAATGGGGATGGCTAATTCAACAAAGGCAGTCCCTATTATGGCGCTGTCAAATACCTTGTCTCGTTTTTCAGTGGGGATAGAAGATGATAGGACAGGCGAGCACATTGCCTCGAGGACAGAGAAGTCTATACGCATTCTGGTCACATCTGGTGCTACAACATGACCTCAGATTTCAAATGGAATTGAACAAACTCCTAGGGGATACAATCTCGTTGGAGGGTCTATTAGCCAAAGTCTCAAAATTGTCCATAGCACAGAGCGTCTTACTAATTATTACGTAACGTTAGACTAAAAATGATCCATGCTGAGACCATAGAGAAAGGACACGTCTATGCCCAGACTGCCTGCGAGCTTGATATATAAAGGGAGTGTCTTGGGTTTCAGAAATCACAAGCTCTGGTGCCAGCTTCGAAATAATCTTGAACATTTGGCGGTGTTGCTTGCTTGCACAACCATAACACAATAGATATAGATAGCTATCTTCTGTAGATAACGTGGATCATGGCACCGTACTATATGACGCGATTTTCTCTGTTTGCAGTCAACTTCCTTACGATATGGGCAATTGCGGACCTACTCCAAATCAGTAAGCTGAAAAGTTGATATCCATCTTAACAATAAATTTCTTTATTCAAAGCATTTTAGTCGCTGCTATCGAAGACGGAAACTGATAGGAAACAGACACTGTTGCCAGAAAGGCTCTGGTTTGAGAAAGGAAAATCTCTGAATTACTGGTTTATAAAGTATTCACTAATTTATTTTATGCAACGAGCACAGAACGACTAGTAAACTTCCGGCGTTTTCTTCTCTTTACTTTTTAGGTGATGCAAGCAATACGAATGACAACATAGACAACTTCCGCCCAGAAATGATCGGTAAGTTTGAATAAGCCCAAAGACAGTTGCTTACCTAATCTTTAATGAGGCTACCAATGACGCTGGGGCATTAACAGTCGTTTTAAGAGTAATATTGTTGTTGAGGGATACACTGTTTAACGTGAAATATCTTACATTTTACGCAGTGGCATATTGCTGGCTCTTAGCAAGTCCCGTATACAATACAAATTCTAAGACCACACTGTTTTGATTTTTTAATAATCTAACCATATTACTAACCTTGTTGGGACAGCTGGCTGATTTTCGTCACGTGAGCATATTACACTTGCATCTCATCTTACCATTCTTCATTCTGTCCACATAATAAAAATGCAGAATGTCTGTAATCTAGTTAAATTGGCAATAAATAACACATATTCACAATCTAGATAATCACTCTAAAAATGCGGTATTACTTAAAATTACACATTAGGACTACCAACAACATTTATCTCTTTCTCAAAATTAACATTAGTTAGTTTGCTTTTCTGATACCTGTGGGTGTCAAAGTAAAATGTCTATTACTTTTACCCGTATAGCTCAAATTCCCCGCAAGCAAAGTGGACAGACAGGTCTCAAGCCCTTTCCTAAGATTGTGCCAGACAATGGAATGTTCCACTTTGTACTTAAAGGTAAGATTCAATGTCTGCTTCTCATGCCAATCAGCGCATTTTGAAATGCCACTAATCTAAACGTAAAGCAGTCATACCGTGTTCGATGTGAAAACTATGGAAGGTCCCTCATGAACCTTTTTTTCAAAACATATACTTAAATTCCTTTTTACACAGACCAGAGTGGTAAAGAATACTGTGTGAAATTTTCGTCTAATTTGGGATTCTGTGAGATCTCAGCCATGGATTTTCAGTGTGCATGTCCATGTCTCCTACTCCTGACATTTAAAAAGCTCTCCTTAAAAAATGCAATGCATTTTAATCAATCTCAAAACAAACATCTGGGTTCCATAATTTGGGTCAATCTAAACTTCATTGCCTGAAAAACGTTATCTGTTTGCCGAACAGAGTATTGCAATCACTTCCTTATTTCACGGTGAATTGTATATAATAAACGTCTTGCCACCTTTCTCATCTAACACCAACGTTTTAAGAAGTTCCAGGTGTTTCAAATATTCGATCCAGAATTTTATGATTGATAGTTTTCAACGACATTTCTCTCCAGATATCGCACAAGAGCTCGTTCATCTCTTGGAGGAGCAGGGTCTCAGCCTCAGCGGCACACACAAGGATGCGATCCATGACAAACTTGAAAGCATCTATGACAGGAGCAAAGACCATCCTGCTCTGGAAAGCGATATAATTGCCTACTCGCCGAAAAAGCCCGACTTCCACAGATACACTCCGGACTCCGTGCTCAGGACCCGTGCACAGGAAAGACGAGTAAGTGAGCAAATTTCTTTGGCACGGCTAACTTGACAAATTGACCCTCTAAAGAAACAATTTCTTCGGAAAATCTCTCAGCTGAGGAAGGGCATTCCCAACACCTCCATGTATCATCCCTTGTCTGATAATTCCTGAAACATGGCGTGCAAATACATTTATTACAAGCAAGTATGTGAAGTTTCAGTTCAATTCAACGGAGAGGTTTGTTACGGTCATTTATTATTGCTAGAACCGTGGATCCGATTTTGATAGCGTTTGTGTCAAATTCATCGTAAGTAATCACTGAAAACCCATGAGGGCTCCACACTATAAAGGAAAGAAACGTGCAAAAGGTGATGCCAGATTAATGTGGGGGATGGAATCTTCCCCAGCTCGTTTTGGTGGATGATGTGTATTTTGTATGTAACGTTGTAAATTTAATGTATTTTGCAGTGAACTATCATGACGTTTGATCTTACTTCCAGAAACGAAAGGAATGTAACATAGCCAGCCATTAGAGCAAATCTTACCAGAGAATCAAAACTCTCAAGTAATTTCTAAACGGGTTAAGAAGACCAGACCGTTAAACGAAAACTGTGTATCAAATTAAATGTTAGATTTGGAAGAGTTATTTGGAAAATACGACATAGTAGACCAGAAGTATTAAACGGTGGTATTCAAAATTATGACCATTGGCGCTGAAATGAATTAGTCTTCTGACTTGCAATGAGTCGTTTCGCATTTCATTTATTTTTTAAAGAACTCCGATGTAGCCTCCGGTGGTAATATAAGTGGGTGTTTTATCATAAGGACAATATCCTTGACAAAGCACTGGGAAACTGGCGGAAGACTACAGTGATAGAACCCTAAATACATGCACTGACAGGGTATTGTGCCCTTTGAGGAATTACACCTTTGTGATCACTGAGCCTACCTCTTGACAGGACACGATGTAGCGCCTTAAAGCCTCACTTTGTGGAAATTGTCGAGTTGTAAAATGTCACTCTAACGCAGTTACAGCGGCGGGTTTTCTGGGATGATAATTCGCCGTTTTAACCAGGCAAGGCGCCATCATTTCTATCCCGCAGGAAAAGCGAGCATATCGCGGGGAGATTCACGAGTTGTGCCAGAGTGAGGAAAGATGGGAGAGCATGGTCACGGCCAATTTGAGGAACCATACCCTAGTCAAGGTTCTCCCAGGCTTCGAGTTCCACATGAGGGCGTGCACCTGGTTCAGCGAAGATGAACCATGTCTTGGCATGAGCCCCGGGTAAGCAAGGACGGTTTAGACATACGTGTCTCCCCTGTGTCCCATGGTGTACTTTTTGATAATTTGCGCAGAGCTCACGTGTTGGCACTGTACTTTAACCTCTTTTGTGCCAAGCCCAATTACCGCGGAGGTGGCACGTGTGTGTGGACTTTCGTCGCTCAGAGCTCCCTAATGCTTCTCCCCTTCCACTTCTAAAGCTGATTTGATACGCTTTGATTCCATCTATTCAAAAGATATTTTGGACCCGTGGGGCAACCACACCAAGAGACTGAATTTAAATAAATGTAATAATGGGATGAAATAAGCTGAAAACTCGTCACAAACGCAAATGGGAGTGAAAGGTTGAGGGTCGACGACATCTGCGTGTGTTTGGCCCAGAAAAGTCACTTGGATTAAAGTCATCTGCATCCTTCATATGTCAGGACAGGTGGAATCTTGCAGTTTCACTGATCCTGTAATGTGACCATTTCTTTTCTTGGTCTTTTTTTTTAGGCTTTTTGCCAAGTTCGCCGAGGATGGTAATTTCATCCTACGCTCCTTAAGAATATTTTAAGGTCGTTGAGCCACCAACGTACTTATGCATACGGGGAACCAAAGTCCATTCGTGTAACATTTATAAGTTGCCTTAATCACAGGTCAGTCGGGTAATAAAAGTGACAAACAAATCCTGACATTAACAGATTCTTGAGAGTGGGAGAAATTAGTAGAAAAATACTAAAGGTTATCATCTTTGTTTGGCAGTGATTTCGTATTCTATTATATTGAAGTCAGGGGTCCAGGTAAGAGGTAAATGCATTGTAAGAGATGTCTTTACTGAAATATTTTAGTGTTAACACGTTTTTTTCTCGCAGCTTCGGTGAAACTTCGTGTCAGACTACGGGGACTTGGGTTCGAGCTTTGGTGTGCGGTGGTTGCAACTTCAACGTCGACCCCAACTGTAACGACAGGTGTCCTAATGTCCGCGATCTATACCACTGGGAATGGGTGTATACCCCCACCTGTTGCAAATGCGCTTACACGTTATTTTAGATTCAATATTTAGTAATGACCACTGACCTTGAATATTTCTTACTGTCCTCATGGACACTGTTTAAAATTTTGCGGGACCCTAGTGCAAATTTTCTAGAAGTTTGCTTTCACTATTAAAATTCGTGGTATCAATTGTGAATGACCTCCCACAACCTGAACGTAGAAAGAAACTTAATTTGGTTTTAAAAAGACCTCCTTAAAAATATTTTCTTTATACATTCCGAGCACCTATTGTATGTCAGAAAAAAACAATTCTGATAATGGTGTGATACCATAATACGATACTGTTAAACATAAAAAGAAACTTTCACTCCATTACAGATTCAGCAATGGTTTACCAAGGAAATGTCAACGAATTTCCCTAATCCCTTCCCTCACAAATGTAATCTTTTTTCCAGGTACGCCCTCTACCCACCCGAATAAAACCCCAACGCATTTTAAGCAACTGCAATCTCCATGCTAATATATTCATGCGTGCACATCACACATTCTCAGCAAGGCAGATGCGACCCACCGCAAAACTACTGCTAATTATGTGATATGTATCTAACCTTTTCATATTCCCAGAATAACACGGGGGGGGGATTTTGTATTCTTGATGTCTTTTTAGTTTGTGAATGACACAAAACTTAACTGCTGTTTGAATAAAGTTGATTAGTTGATTAAAGTTCCATTTTTGGCTGGCTATCTGTATAACGTAGACTCCATAAAGAATTAGCGACCAAATACAAGTTTTGAAACAGAATTTTATGTCTTTTCTTTGACTTTATTTTTCTACGAATGACGCTTTGATTATCATGAGCAGTCTAATCATTATGTTTTTGTCCTTCTGATTTTGGATTGGGATTAATGTTTCTGTACAAATTTTATCTTCCTTTGACGTAGCTTAGAGATTGGTTTGGGAATCACACACCCCATTGCCTCTTTTTTCTATTGAGGAAAGCAAAAGCCAGATACTGTTATTTCTTGTGAAAAATCGTAAACACGATGATACTATCGTATCATCGTGTACAAGTACAAGTCTAGATCATGAAAAGTACAATTTAGTTCCAAATTATGTTCCGTCAAAATACTCTAATCCTTCCATCGTTTTCAATCGTGGGTAAATGCTACAATGATTGCGTTAAACCAATAATCCCCAAAAAGTAACAATGCGTTACTACAGGCTCACTGCCAACGCTAAAAAAACGAACAACTCATGTAAGAGGAATGAAGTGACAGGGTGCGAAATTACTACAAACCTCCGACCCGGCTTCCGCTCCTCCCAGTCCAGCCAGGAATACCTTTGAGTAATGTCCCCCGATCTAACCTGTGAGAAACGATCTTTATGTATACGCGAAGACATTTGCGAATGCAGGTCATGCATGGTTTGAGGGGATGGAATCATCCCTCCAAAAGTACGTCTGTTAAATTTTTGCACTCGCATAAGACTTCCATCCACCATTAGGTGGTTGGGACGTATTTAAACTGCTGGTGTTTTCAACTCTCTAAAATTAAAAAATAGAAAACGGGAACATGCTCCAGCATGCCCCCTCTGGATACACCACTGTTGAACACGAAAAACGTACACTGTCAATCACATTTTGGGAGTATATAAAGCTGGCAATGTTTTTTTATTATTTTTTTCCCTCTCAATCACTAAATTAATTCAATAAACATCCAACAAATATTAAGAGCACGAAACTCCTGCAACTATAATCACTGACTTGGATGGCCTGAATTCAAAAATTTAGAGGGCTTGTTGGATAAAAACGTCAGGCCTGGGGACAAGGGAAAATAAAACGTGGATCACTCGTGCATAAAAGCATGTTTACAATGTTGGAAATAAAATTCTTGTTGATTCATGCTAATAGAAATTAGGTGAGCTTCGTGGAAAATGTGTCTTGGTTTGTTTTGTTTTGCTTTGAGGAGGGAACAAAACGCTCTAGAAACACACCAACGCAGCACTAAGCTGTTGTAAAAGCTACTTTTAGATCATCAACTGTTCATCAGATTATTCCGTTATTTTCTTAGTGTCCGATGACAACGCTAATGCTAGAATCGTGTCATTTTTGTATCGCACCGTGCGTGGGCCGAGTTTACACGGCATACGTTTCTCCGAATGACGTGCACTTTCATATAAGGCTCCGCAGGCACCTTATCCATGTGTTCAGCATATCCTGAAGAAAATGGTTACTAAAATGCTGAGCAAACCCTACAAAAATCTGTGCCCCTAATAAAATTTATCATGAAATTTAACCAGGGAAGGACCACATAATACTCTGCCGTAAAGAAAACCCAATCAGATAATTTAAAAAAGCCTATTTAATCTAACCGCTGATAGCTCTCAAAACCACAACCTCGACGCGAGGTACAACCTTAGCAAAATGAGGAAAGGGGGCGTGGCCGATTATATCACGGGACGTTGGCCCGGCAAACGAGCGAACCAACAAACAAATTCCATGTCATTTCACCCCGTATACGCCCTCTCCCCTCTTCCCATGTAACTTCCCACGAATCGATGTTGTAGTTGACACTTTTTCCGAAACCTAAAACGTGAATCGTCAAAATCTAGTAAAGTCCACAAAATATGGGAAATGATTCGACAAAAAAGCTAACGTTTCAAAGGTACAGGTGCTTTTCGAGTAGTGTCTACAAGGTATCACGCACGTAGCCTTGTATTTAAATGACCGTAACAAACAAACCATACGTCTCATTAAGTTCAGACTTCACATTCGTATTGAAAGAAGTATCTCTACACAATACGCTAAATTTCAAAAAAATCGAGAGTAGCACAGCCAAGTTCTTGTGGGAGGGGGCCGGGTCCGCCCCCGGTTGTGAGATAGGCCCAAATAACCTGGTTCTTTGAGGGTCAAGTACGTTGTCATCTGGGTGAATTGATGTTTTTTCCTTCGTATATTTCTACTATAATTTGGAAATCCAAAGAGTTTGCGTGGTGATGGAATCACAGAGAGCCTAACAAAATGTCTTTATACAAGTAGCTTAGAACACCCACGTTGGACCTGATCCCTGCTTTTAAACACGAACTTTCATCCTTCAAAATCTACGCTTAATGTCAAGAGTGAATACAAAAGAACAGACCAAAAGGTGTCTGGCTTGCAAGAGTTATGTAAGGCTCCCAACAGGCATTTAAATACGGAATGGTTACTATATATATATAAGTCACTTACGGCTTAAAACTCGTTGATTTTCTTTTCAGAGTTGTTCTGGTGATGGCTGATTGGTACAACAAATTAAAAAATTATACATAATATAATATAATATATATAATAATGTTTTTTATTTATTGTATCATTCAGCTATCACCAGTACAAGTGTTACAAGAAAATCAACGAGTTTTAAGCCTTATAGTGACCTTTAATACTCGTTTTACAACCAGGGGTACTTTGCGTCGCGCTTCTCTCATACATGCATACAAGCTCGAAAAGCGGGTGTCTTCCTTACACAAACAATCACTTGATCCCCGATTGAATGCTTTCTTCCTTAGTGTCTATTATTCATCTCAGGACAATCGTGCCTGGGAGATGTCATCCTCTGTCCCGGACAAAACCCCTTCAGCAGCGGCTAAAAGCACTGCTTGGGTCAGTTGAGATGTTCCTGAAGGGATTGACAAAGGAATAAGACTCTCACAACGTGTTGAATGTAATACCGTCGAAACTATTTCCCAGAGGATCAGTTTCCAAACACAATGAAAGGCCTAAGTGCTTCAAGAAAATAACCAAAAGCCTTAGGTCATTCAAGTCTGCTTGCCAACTATTTTGAAAAACTGCCTTTATACCCTGGATATGTTCTTTAAAACCACAAAAATGGCCGAATAAATACACGTTAGTGCTTATACGTGTCTTAACAAAACATGCACAGTTGTTTTGTAGCCATGATGTGTGAATTAATGATTAGAATATTATTATATACAGGCTCAAGCTTATGGAATCTGCCTCCAAAAAGCACAACCGAAAGGAGCTCACTCATGGGCAGCATTGGTAAGTAGCATATTGATAATGATGACGCAATTATCCATTTTAAATGCTGGAAAGAGACAGTAGCTTTAGATTCTGTGGTACATCATCGTCAGAAGAGGACTAAAAGTTGGAAGGTAAAATACTCCCACCCACACCTTTCATTCTAGTTCTAGCTTCCTTAGAATCATTCAAATATTGAACCAAGCAGTAAGATTTGAGTAAACGTCCACCTACAGTCCATGGATAGTGCCTACGGGGTTGCTTTGATATTTTAACATGCCTTTAATGCCAAAATAAGTAATGCGTAGGCTGGCGCGCTTGACATCTGCCATCAATTTTCCTTGAGTGGTTACAATTGTATTTAACGCACCTGTATCAAACTGTTAAGTAGAAAAGAAAAGATCGTCAAGTTGTGTAAAGTTTCTTGTGTTTCTATGTTGTAGATCTGGAGAAGTGAGGTCATTCTATGCTATGCTCCCTTGGAAAGCAAGTTTTGGATACTGGCATCATAGCCACTGCCCATTGTCTCCCTTGATTACTTTGTAGCTCCCTGTTTTCGGTGAGCTATTACTTTAGCAAAGAAAAACTCAAAACAAAAAGCGCAAAGAGAAATACAATGTAGGGTCGACTTCAAATGAAGTCGATAATTGGCTGGGCTTAGTTTGTATACCCGGCAAGAAATGAGACCGAAAGGTATCCCCCCAACATGTCCAATCCCTATACACATTCCAGACTATTGTTACTTAACACATCCCCCCAAGATGTCTGAAAGGAATTCCCCAGATTCCTGCTAAACAATGACCAACACAAAGCAGGGGGGGTTCTCTCCATCTCATACCTTGCTGCATATATTAGTTTGCCTTCACTGCCGTTTGTCAAAGGTCCACCAATTACCGACCTGAACAATTTGCGAACCGTTGTGCACACGGTTATGGAGCATGCAACCAAAAATTGGACGAACCACTCTGATTAAGAGTCATGCCAATATGAATATTTATTTACGGAGCTGTTTTATTAATTTAGAAACAATTTAACATGATTATTCTCATTACATATTTTAGCATATGTGATAAAAATATATATTAAACAGCTCAGCCAGGTGTACACCGTCATGCAACGTTATCGCGAAAGAAAGTGTCTGCGTTTCCATCCACTGCATTGCTTCTTCGTCATTTCTTCGGTCTATTCCTTCCATCTTCTATGTTAGGATATCCTCTCGTTAGCACGACACGTGGGAAGTGTTGTAGGAAGACAGCACTGAAAGATAAAGAGATTCCGTTAACCATGGGTTGCGAAACCTGGGGATTTCGAGTCCTCCGAAACAAACCAAACGGAGCAACCAGGAAGTCTAAACTATGCACATTTCTTTACGTGAATCAAAATTTGTTATTGTATTTACCACAGTCGATTAGCTTGAAAAATATTAAAGGTATTGGCGACATTCCCTATAGACTTTCTTATCGTGTTACGAAGTACATGCGTTTAGGAAGCAACAGCTATCCTGCCACCTTGTTTTCCGGTATGATTCGAGACATGAGAAACATGATTAATCTTAACTTTTCTGTTGTGCACGATCTTCCACTTAGATGCCCAAGTGTGTGCTTCGTCAACGATATTTTTATTTATCAACAGGAAGTTGTACCCTACGGAGAGGAAATTCGAGGGGACAAAGTGGTTGGAAACTGCCTTCTCTCATTACTTGGACTCGTTTTACTTCCTTCTTTTGATTGATCTTCACCAAGAATCCATGTCTATAATAACACACACGTTCCTGTTCTTGCGGGCAAGATTGCACTGCTAACACAAATACCATGCACGTGTCGGAAGGACAAATTAGGAAACCAAAGAAGGCAAAGTTAAACATCTTCGACATTCCTTGACTAGTCATCTTTGCGGCACCGATTGTTTTTTTTTTTGGGGGGGGGCTTTACATTCCATTAGCCCTATGAATTTTTTAGCACAACTTGAGCAAAGTCCACACACTGCAACTCAGAATTATCGTGAAACGCCCCAAAACCCCGGCATTTGGGGTTTTTTGAGGGTATAGCTTTGGAACCCCCGTTGGTATCGATTTAGTTCTTTCCGCAAACTCTTTGTAATGATACTTTTAATTAACCTCCCAACTTTTCACCGCGAATGGTCAATTCAGTTATTTTTTCAGTGCGGACGCAATCTTTGGACAGAACTCTTGCACAATGCTGCGACTGATCAGTTTACGTAAGTCTTAAAATACCACCTTCTGATCTTTTTTGGTCGTGCTCCAAAACAAACCGTACGTGGTTGTCAGATGTCATTGAAATACGGCTGACTGGCCTGTATGAAGGACTGTATTTTTAGCCTAAAGATTGTGTGCCAATCACAGTCGTTGCCTGAAGCTGCACTGTAAAATATACTTAACCCTAACCCCTAGAGTGTATGTAAAATTATATTGAAATCGAAGGATTTGGAACTAGTGTAAACTAAACCTTAATTCATTCTTCACGGTTGGACGGATACAAACACCCCACAGACCTTACGTCAGATAGTGACTCATAAAGAAATTTGTGGGCAGACGCAGAGCATTTATTCAACTCATTAAGTATCAAGACTTGCTGCTACAAACGAACAACAGCAGCAGCAAGGGCACTTCCGACAGCAGAAACAACAACTGCAGCACCAACAGCACCAACAACAGCTGCCTCAACATCAACAGCACAGCGGCATTCGAAGTAATAACAGCACAAGCCACAACAGCAGCACCAGTAACAGCAGCAACAGCGGTAGTAGTATTTGTTACAATGGTTTACTTTTAACGTCACCTAGTTTGGACTTGTGAACAAAAGGTATGTGTTTACCCCCAATATTCGTTAATCCGGTTTGTCGTTTTTGTTTCATATTCTACTCTACGTTTCGTGGACAGCTTAAAGGCCGGAGGCACACTCCACGAGAAAGCGAACACAAGCACGGATTTGTGACGTTAGATTATTCATCCCGCAAATTCCAGAAAGTTGAATACATTTCAATTCGGGCGAAATTTTGCTGTAAATCTTTTGTAACGTCAAATTCGGCTTTCAAGTTCGCCTTTAGTATGAACCGGACTTAGGTTGCTCTGGACAATTTTGTACGCACCAGTCGCGGCTGGGTCGACGTTGTTTTTCCCTATATCGTAGTGAAATAAGGAAACGTTTTTTTGCATGTCATTCACATCACAGGATTAGACTTGGCTCATAAGTCTCTGCATTTCAGAGATCAACCAGGATACACTAAATTCCCTCAAATACCCATTACTTGAGTCTCAATAATGCGCCACAATCCGCCGCAAAATAACACGTGGATCATTTATGCCCTACGGGACTGAGATTTACCTGTTTTGTGCCATAATTATGTATCTCTCAGCTGCTTCCCCAGAGTTAGAATTACACAACACTCATACAAACTGAAATGGTATGCGAGAAAAGATAATTGTTTGCTAAACCTGCGTTGTTATCACAAACCGGTTTATTGCCCACTTTTTTGAAGTGGTAGGTAAGTAAGTGGAACTAACTGTAAGTGGAACGATTAAACGCTGAGCTCGATTCTGCCAGAAAATATCAAGGCGCTAAACTATAACACTCCTACACTGCAGTGTGGAAAAACATTTTAACCAATGTAGCCTGTAAAAGAACATCCAAGCGGTATACAAACATAGGGATATAAGGTGAAGCGGTGTATACACAACCAGTGCTTGGAACGCTAACTGACTGCTTAAACAACGCTAGCCCACGCACCCAAACCAACGGTGAGTGTATCCACGTGACTTCCTCCTAATGCCTCCTCCTACTCACATCTTTCGAAGATGGTGATTGCCCCTTCTTGATTCCCTGTTCCGGTCTGTACAAGACCTAGCGCCATCATCAGTTCGCGCGTGATCATGATTGCGGGATAGTTGCGCATACATGTATAAAAGCCACGTCAACTTTGGTTTGTGTGGCACGCTCTTGATTCTTCTGGTGCAGTGGTGGCTGCGTTTAGAAAAACTTCGAAGTGCTGCACAAATTTTTCAATTGCCAATTTTAAATTTGAAGTGGTCTGCAGTCTCGCTGCAATCAAGCCTTCAATTGTCAGCAGCCTGTTGATTGCTAGTGCCAAGCAGACTTAGACTGTAAAGCCGGCTGGTGAAGTAGAGTTACTTCGTGTCGAGATGGTTTCGCTTCGAGTAAGAGAACGTCTGCAAGTTTCGGCCCTGCTGGCCCTGACATTTGTGGGTGAGTTTCAGTCTTCACTCCGTAACTGCTCTCAAGATTTTCAATAATCTCCCCCTCCAAGTGATTGCTTACTTATGAAAGTCCGGGATAGAACCTAACAGTTTGCCTTATAGTTTGAAGCCCACAGTGGGTTGTGCATAATCTATGAGATACCCGTGTGGGTGATTGAAGAATGATGCAAACACATGACTACGAATATTCAAGCCACGTGAACGCCATGACTACGCCATAACCTCAAAATAAGAGAGCTGACCTAGGTGACGATGAACAGTTGTTGTGAGCTATGGGATTTCGGATCACATACCGAATTGTCGCTTTTCTTGTGTCGTTTAATTTTAGTTTGCGGCCCGCACTGTAAGGTTCTCTAAGCACAGGGAAAACGCTAACAAGTTTGCATATGATGGATTGAGTTTTTGTCCTTAATTTGACAAGACATTCCCGAAATATTCTCTTTTTTCACAAAATATATCAGTTAGTGTCTGATGACAGTAGTCGAACAAAAAGGCGAAACACAAAAATGTACCATCCCAATGGTAACAAAATACTGCAGAATACTCAATACTGAAAACTTTCCTTACCTCGATATTCCACGACATTGGAAAGAAAAAATAAGGAAATCGAAAAAACTTAGAGTAGGCAATTGATGAAATATTACGGTGAGGCCAACTAGTTTAGCAAATTAATTAATGAATGGGGTGTAACACACTAGAACACCAACGTAATGACGTCATAGCTACGCCACAGATCTTAATTTTCAGCACTGTAAAAACCAACGCCAATTATAAACGCGTTTTTACGTTAATTGTTAACATGTAACCGTTTAAAATCAAAATCCTTCTTGGAAATAACTGTGTTTCGGTGTTCAGAAAGCGTTACTACCTGACAACGTGTGTTTGCATGTGTCTTGCTATTAACACCCAAATTTTGTCTAAATTTATCAACACATCAACACGTACTTGTTTAAAAAGGAACACCACAACGTGTTTAGTTTTTCATTATTAACACCACAATACGTTTTTAAAGTGTTATCACAAAGGCATCTACAAGGCGTTAAAACGTTAATACCTGTTTTTACAGTGTAACCGTGTAATTTTAAGAAAATAAGTAGGGAAAATAAAAGGCTGGGAAGATTGCTGTGGGTGAGATATAGATATAGATATAGCTGATTGCCTTAAGCTATAAGCCTAGGTATTTAAATGAGTAAAAGTCAGTTTATCATTCCGTAGGTTTTTAAGCAACTCAGAATTTTTGCTCTGGGCAAAAGTAAAGAACCGTCTAATCAGTTCCACAGAACCGCCTGCGTGTACGAATATTTACCCACGTTCTGCGGAGGCAAACTCATTTTAATGCATGCAAATACACCGAGGCATATTTTTTAAACCCAAGGGCCATGATATCATTTCGCAACTAAAACTGCCAAATGTCATCATTGATGGAAGCCGGCTTATTCGATAAAAAAGTAATCCACTGGTTTAAACACCCAATCACACCCACTAACACACACCTGCAGTACGTGTTTAAGGTGAAAAAAGCGTAAATGGACGAAAGTGGACAGATAATAGCCACATCACGCATGATCGAATTTTACGGAGGCTATAACATCTTCGCCCTCATTACCTCAAATCGCTGAGAATGGTCTGTGGGAATCGGACACTTTTACGGTTGACAGGGAATACATTTCGGGGTTATCATGAGAAGGGGGTGGCAACATCCTCTATTAAATGCACAAATAGTCAGATATAATTGATCTTACAGATTACATTATAATAATCAGGCCCATATGTACGAACGAATAGCGCTTTATAGGAAATCGTTCTCGCCATATTCTTGTCATCCTGTTAATTCTAGATTTAAACGATAAACTAATTAATACACGTGGCTCTGGGTGTGGCCTGGGTTTTGTGTATCTGTAAGTTGCTTGTGATTAAACATAAATTGTGTAAAATTAGTGTATTTTTACTGGTTTTTTAATTTTTCACACGGGGAACAGAATCTGCTATTTTTTCATCATGATGAATAAACATGAATGACTGAATATATATCTGGACACGTATCCGCTTAAATGGTCTACGTGATGTAATTTTCAAATTCTTTCCGTTTGAAGTCAAACTGGTTCAGTTTTAACCGTTTTCAAGAAGACTAGGGTGTGCAAATGTTATATACCATGGTCATTCCAACTAACACTTAGGATAAAAAAAGATGAACTGAATCAACTGTTCATAAAAGATGTGAAAATATGAATAGGCTACCATTTGCTTTTTTACAGGCCTAGGGTACACAGTTTCATAGATCTTGTTTAGACGAAATCACAAGTTAAAATTAAGAATCTCCCTGAATTTCTCAAATTCTGATAAATCTTTAGCTCTACTGCAATTTGGCAGGGGTACGTAAACTCTAGATTTACGAACGGAAATGTTTAGTGTTTGATGAAATTTTAATTAAATTTGTGATACAAGGCTTGTTCCATAAAAGTTCTAAGCTTGATCATATTTGAAATGGTATTTTCTGCTCATATAATTGGTTGAAGTGTGCAGAAACGCCTCCGCTGCCACAAAACAGAACGTCTATTCTGACTCCAGAATATATCCAATCCTGTCGTAAAGCAGGCCCTGACACGCATGTCGCGGGGGCTGTGTGCTCTCATGGGTTTTATCCGATGCCGTCGACGAATTCCCATAGAGTTGCAATCCCATAATGCTATAAAGGTCTTGATGGGGGCACGAGTTGATTCGGGGTGGGTCCAAGTTGGGGTGGGTCCAAGTTGGCATGGGTCCGAGCTGTTATGAGTCCAAGTTGGATTCAGGTCCAAGTTGGTAGGGTTCCAAGTTAGCGTGGGTCCTTGTAGGTATAATCCCTTTTCTGCGCGTTTGGATTTTCCAAGCCTTTTCCTCGTGTGGGATCAAGTTTGGAGTATTCATGCAGTGGAAGTGAGGTGAAATCACGGCCAACAAAACGGCTTATGCTGTATCTTGTGACTTACTGCTGCACGAATATTGGCTGTTGTTATTAACCCCGTCTCCTCATGCACGCCTACGAGGGAACTAATTGAGATATTAAAATTGAGGCATTCGATATTTTGCCGTCGCCGGCAAGATTCCAAAACGACATATGGCCGGTTGTCTTATTCTGATTGGTCCATATTTATGACGTCACCACTGCCAGGAATACCCATCGATAACTATTAAACAGGTCTGGAATTAACAAAGACACCTCTAGTGAAGTTCTCTGTCAGAACATGCAGTCACTCACTCGGGTACCGACTTTCACTGTACTCTCACGTCAGAAACTTGATTGTCTTGGTCCCAAGACCTTCCAGTCGTTATTCCCCCGACAAGAACCACGCACGTACACTTTTAGAGGGCGCTATCACTACACAAATCGTTAGCGCAGAAAGGTATTGGATATTTTGTTTTCATTTCTTATGTTTTTCATTGTTTTCCATCGACTTTCCGAGGGAGCCAATCAACAGTTTCGTTTGAGCCTTATATTGAATTATTCATATAAGTTCATGACGTCTGTCAATAGACAATTGAAAACAAAAATGAAGTCCCGATCTCGAGATCCAACAATTTCCGCAGAAAATGCCTTTAAGATACGCCAATAGATTATTTTTTTATATTTATAACAAATTTCCATATTCAGCTTCTCGTTGATCATTTATAAATTTTGTTAAAATTTTATAAACTTCTAGGTTTGGGGGGAAAATAGACCAAATTCGCAGTGCTAAAGCGAGCCTTGGACATCATACATCGTGACTGTACCGTGGTACGACATGACAAAAGTGAAAATGGTTCAATTTCTTTGGTTATATGCGCTCACGGCAACTTTTGGGCTGCTGTTCTGGGCTTAAGAAGGATATTTAGCGAGTGCTTAGCTATGAGCATCAGTAAGTTTACCATGATGTTGGCCTATGTTTAAATGTAGTTCGTGAATACGAAGCGTGTTGAAAATCATTTGCGTAGCTTCTACCAATCGTAAGTCATGTGATATTAATAATGCAAATCCTACCTTTATTGCCATATCTGTTGCTGCCCAAGACTTTACAAAATATCCAAGACCTTGCTGTGATAACGATTCATGATGTGATAGCGCCCTGTCCCTGTACATACATGTGTGTACAGTACAGTACGTGCGATGGTTCTTGTCGTGGAGCACTGAACTGGAACTTAGAAGCAAGACCAGGGACTTGACCGTAGAGTCCCCTAACGTGGTGCAATAATTCTAGAAAAATCAATATTTTCACTCACATACCCAAATTCAAATGTGAAGAAAATTATTCCTTATTTGTGGACGTATTTTAAAAGTGTTCATTTTACACGAGAAAAAAATTAGAAAATGGGACCAAAGCAAATTTCATCGGAACTTTCAATGAGAAACAGAAACTTGAGATTTATGCACGGGGAATACTGAAGCTTGATCAAATGTCACTTGTTATAAAAATGATTGAGGCAAAACTATTGCTCGTACCACAGGCGAAAATAAGTTTGCCCCGTGTGGGCACATGTACATCAATAACGGTGATGTCATGAATACGGACCAATCAGGACAAGGCTACAGGTAAAATATCGTTTTGGACCTATTAGGGCAACAACAAAATATCCACTACCTAAAACTGATGGTGTCATAGGCTCAATCTGCACCGCGTGATAAAGTTAAGTCTGCTTTCCAAAGTGAAACTTTAAAACAAGACCGAAAAAAATTTGAACACCAAATGAGCGTATAACCTTTTGATATGCCTGGGCTCACACCCTCCAGGTACTCTCATTAATCTTGTCCCCATTTTCAATTATGTTTTACTGCTTTTTTTAAACCAGATTGAGAGCAACTGACAGAAGCGTGGTGTGGGTGACACAACGCTGACTATACAATGCGCAGTGCAGTGATGACTAATTGTGTTCTTCACATCATCTTTTTTTAATTTCCTGGAGGCTTCCGTGCCAAAAGACACAGACCTTGATTTGGTATTTGCTCAAAACTCAGCTTTTGAACGCGCGCCAAAA